CGGGCCTCTGATGTTGATAGAGTTCTCTCTCAGAGTACCTGTTGCACCTCTGCTTTTCAACGGGGTATTCTGCACATCCTGCCATGCCTCCTGGTCTCATGTGATGTTATTTCTGTGTGCAGGTTTGGGACCAGCCCCTCAATTATTTTCCACGTGTAAATTATTATGTATCTCTCCCGCCTGTGCTCAAGGGAGTACAGATTTAGGTTCTTTAGTCGGTCCCAGTAATTTAGATGTTTTACTGAGTGGATTCTAGCAGTAAAGGATCTCTGCACGCTCTCTAGGTCAGCAATTTCTCCAACTTTGAAAGGGGCTGTCATTGTGCAGCAGTACTCCACTCTAGAGAGCACAAGCGTATTGAAGAGTATCATCATCGGTATAGCATCTCTAGTGTGAAAAGTTCTTGTTATCCAACCTGTCATTTTTCTTGCAGTTGTGACGGCTACTTTATTGTGTTCTTTAAAGGTAAGGTCTTCTGACATGAATACACCCAGATCCTTTACATTGCCTTTTCGTTCTATGTTATGATTTGCCTGAGTTTTGTACGTGGTTTCTGTTTTTATATTTTCAATTTTTCCATGGTGCATGAGCTGGAACTTATCCTCGTTAAACACCATATTATTTTCTGTAGCCCATAGAAAGACCTGATCAACATCTGATTGGAGGTTTGCCGTGTCCTCTATGTTGCCAACTCTCATGAAAATCCTAGTGTCATCTGCAAAGGATGATACAGTGCTATAGGTTGTGTTCTGGTCTATGTCCGATATGAGGATGAGAAAAAGTACTGGAGCAAGCACAGTACCCTGGGGGACTGAGCTCTTCACGGTTGATGGGCTGGATTTTATTTTGTTGACTATTACACATTGGGTTCTGTTGGTCAGGAAATTGTAGATCCATCTGCCTGCTTTTCCGGTAATTCCTTTTGAACGCATTTTATGTGCAATAACACCATGGTCACATTTATCAAAGGCTTTTGCGAAATCTGTGTAAATTACATCAGCGTTTTGTTTGTCTTCCATAGCATCTAATGCCGTATCATAGTGGTCCAGCAACTGCGACAGGCAAGAGCGCCCTGTTCTGAAACCATGTTGTCCGGGGTTATGGAGATGCTGTGATTCCATGTATTTTGTGATCTTACTTCTTAGCACTCTCAAAAATTTTTATGATGTGCGATGTTAGTGCTATCGGTCTGTAATTTTTTGCCTCTGCCTTATTTCCTCCTTTATGGAGTGGTGCTATCTCTGCTGTTTTTAGTATGTCAGGGATAACGCCAGTATCTAGGCTTTGTCTCCACAGAATGTGAAGGGCCTGCGATAGTGGTTTTTTACAGTTCTTGATAAATATAGAGTTCCAAGAATCCGGGCCTGGTGCAGAGTGCATAGGCATACTGTTTATGGCTTCTTCAAAATCTAGTGGGGATAGGGCGACGTCTGATATATGATTTGATGTTGGTATCATATCCATGAAAAATTCATTTGGGTTATCAATCTTCAGTGCATTTAATGGCTCGCTGAAAACAGAGTCGTACTGCTTCCTCAGTAACTCACTAACTTCTTTGTTGTCATCGGTGAAAGTTCCATCTCCCTTTCGCAGGGGCCCGATACTAGATGTGGTTTTTTATCTTGATTTTGCATAGGAGAAAAAATATTTCGGATTTCTCTCTATTTCACTGATGGCCTTTTGCTCTCTTTGCCTCTCCTGGGTTTTGTATGATTCTTGTAGCTTGGGCGTCGATGCCAGTTCGATGCCCCTCGGGTCACCCGGCGGTTGCTCGAGGGGCTGTGCGGGAGCCTGAACTTGGCGATGGTGGTCTACCTGCCAGGTCGGGTTTGGCTTCGTTGGCTGTTCTGTTTCCTTCGGGGTTCCCCCTTCCGCCTCTCTTTCGATCGCAGAGTTCAACCCCCGGGGGCCTTGCGTCGGTTGCTGCGTCACCGGCTTCCTCTTTGGGTTTTTCGGGGTTCAGTGCCTTGGCGCCTACCCGAGCCCTCGCTCGATGTGTACACGGTTGCTTCGTCTCTCAGCTGGGGTTTTGTGACCAGTGCTCACCAGGCCGGCCAGGGGCGTTGGGATCCGTCCTTCCGTCGAGCTCACAGCATGGTGCGGGAGTTCGCGACAGTGTGGTTTGCTCTGGGGAGGATTCGGGTGGCCCGCGGATCGACGATTCGGCTCCATTCGGACTGCTCTCCGGTGGTTCATTGCCTGAACCGCGGGGATTCGATGCGGTCCTTGTCTCTTTGGGGTTGGTCGCTTCGGGTGACTCGTATGCTGAGTTCTCTGGGTTTTTCTCTCCTCGCGGTTCACGTACGGGGCGTGTCCAACATCTTGGCCGACGCTCTGTCTCGCTTCGTTCCCCTCTCCACGGAGTGGATGGTCGACGACGAGTCCTTCCATTGGCTTTGCCAGACGTTCGGGCGCCCCGAGGTGGACCTCTTCGCATCGGTGTGGTCGCGGTGTCTTCCCGTTTATGCGGCGCCCTTCCCCAATCGCGAGGCCGTCGGGGTCGATGCCTTTTGGCTAGACTGGTCGAGGTGGGGGTTCCTGTACCTCTTTCCCCCAGTTCGTCTGTTGCTCCAGGTCCTGACTCGCTTAGAGACTTACCAGGGGAGAGTTGTCCTTCTGGCCCCTTGGTGGCCGGCCCAACCTTGGTTTCAGGCGCTGGTTGCTCGGTGTCCGAACCCGAGGGTTTTCCCGCAGCTCTGCCTCTTTCAGCAGATCGGGCCGGTACGTCACGTGGCTGGTTCGATCTTCTCCTCGAGTCTTCGCGTATGGGTTTTTTTGACTTGAGTTTATCATCATCTCTATGGTGATCAGGTGGCCTACTTGTTGGTGTCCCACTTGAGGGCTTCTTCTCGGCGGCAGTATGAAGTTTCCTGGCGGTCCTTGTGTTTCTTTTTGCGTCTTCGTCGTGTTAGTTCCTTGTCTGTTCAGGTGGTCTTGTCCTTCCTCTCGTAGTTGTTTCAGAACCGTCATCTTATGCCTAACACTGTCGCCTCGTATCGTGCGGCGCTGGCGGAGCCGCTTCAGCTTGCCTTCGGTATCGATGTTACATCTGCACCGTTTCGCAAACTATCTCGTGCATTGTTTCACCTTCGGCCTGCTCATGCGCCGCCTGAGCCGTCCTGGTCTTTGGACAGAGTGCTCGCTTTCCTTTCGTCTCCTCGTTTCGTTGTGGCCCCTTCGGTCCAGGATTGTTTTTCCAAGGCACTTTTCTTGTTGGCTTTGGCCTCTGGGGGTAGGGTAGGGGAGCTTCATGCTCTCCTCCGGCGCAGGGGTTTCTGCTCTTTTGGTCGTGGTGATTATTTTGTTCGCTTGTAGCCGTCTCCTTCTTTTCTGGCGAAGAATGAGACTGGTGCGTTCTGGAGGGGTCCATGGGTGGTTGATGCTTGGTTGGTCAGGCCGGGGGTGCATCATGTTTTGTGTCCGGTTGCGGCACTTCGCCGTTATTTGCGCGCCACGGCTTCTGTGTCCGAGGACGCGCTGTGGGTTGATCCGGTTTCCCTTCTTCCCTGTTCGCGGGTTCGGGTCTCCCAGGTCGTCCGCAGGATTATTAAGTCCAGCCAGCCTGCGGTCTATCCCCATGCCCATGATGTTCGTAAGTTCGCAGCTCTTGTTGCCGTCTTTGGGAATATGTCTTGGTCTGATATTCGGGCGCGGGGCTTTTGGCAGTCGAACAGGGTCCTGGCTGCTCGTTACTTTGTGAATGTCCCTGGGCCCCGTCGGGCCTGTGTTGCTTTGGGTCGGCGGTTGCAGCCAGTTGTCTCGGCTTCGAGTTGAGGAGTGAGCGACGACTGCCTCCCGGGTAAGTCCCTCTTTTTCCGTCTGTGGGTAGTTAGCTCCGGGGAGCCGACGGGGCTCCCCCCAGAAAACCAGCGTTGAATGTAATGAAACGCCATTTTCTGGGTGAGTCCCGGAGGCTCCCCGGCATCCCTCCCTCCCTCCGGTCGGCGTTTTTTTTCGCGTTTTTGACATCCAGCCTCAAGAACTGAGGTGTGGGTAGCCGGCGTGGAGGGTCTGGGGTTTCCCCTTTCCCCTCCCGGGGAGGGGGGAGCTGTGCAGACAGCGGCGTGGCGGGGTGTGACGTCACACTAGTTTGCTTGTTTTCTGTTGGGGAGTTCTATCCACTAGTTCGGCTTTTGGTAGCAATTTTAACCAGAATAGGGGTTTATTTTGAGGCGCTTACTTTTCTGGGTGCCTGTTCCGGTCGATGGCAGACATAGAATGCTTCGAACCACACGGGGGCTTCTATAGGCCATTGCTCCCCTTGCCTCTCTGAGGGGGCCCGGTTCTGGCCGTGGTCCCCGGTAGGCCTAAGAACTCCATACACATGGCTGATACCAAAGTCTGACATTAGCATATCAACCTGAGATAGCTCCGGGGAGCCTCCGGGACTCACCCAGAAAATGGCGTTTCATTACATTCAACGCTGGTTTTTTATGTTCAGAAACCAAAAGAGCAGAAAAACTATGAAAATCTTCAAGAAATTCAAGCGCGGTCGTCACTAGGCGAGATACACTGGTAAACTGACCGCACCTCGCCCCGCGCCCAGCAGAACCATGTGCTTGACCCAAACGAGTATTAACAAATGACTTGTAATCCGAGGCAAACTTTGTATACCGAGTCAAATTTTATGAGGAAATTGCCTTCGTATACCGAAAATTTTGTAATCAGGAGCATTCGTAAACCGAGGTTCCACAGATCATTGAAAATATCAGACAGTTATTCACAAATATTTTCCGGTGTCTATGTAATGTTGAAATTATAGAAGAAATTGCTAGTCTTATGGTATATTATGGCCACTTATAAGAATAATCATCTGTTGTATCTCTGGTTTAACTATGGCATGTAGGTTAGAAATAACTTCTCCCAGGCACTGTATGCATTACTTGACCAATCGTCTGAATTTCATACCTTAATGATAATTTATTAAACAATATTTTGATATAGGGAATATTTAAAAGTATTACTTAAAGGAATTATAAATAAGTAACCAAAATTTACAGATGCTGGAAGGATTGGGGTAGCTGGGCAAGCTCTTGGTATAGCCCAGGCTGCCTTTGACTGTGCCATGGATTATGCAGGAAAGAGAGTGGCTTTTAATGCTCCTATCTTGAAGCTGCAGCTAATCCAGGTACAGTATATTACTGGCTGTTACCACTAATGAGGTTAAATTGTTCTTGTGTGTTAATTTTATCTTGACTTAAGAATGGTTGCTTGTCACTTAACCCAATTATAGTACTGTACTGTCTATATTTTAAAGCCAAGCTATTAATGTGGGTACAGCATGAGCTTGCTTATCCAAACTATATGGGATGGACCCCTACCGGATAAGCCAGACATGCAGATAAGCAGGATTCTTACTGGGGAAGTCCCAAAAGTGAACATATTCACAATTTTTTGTTCCACAACCAACATAATTTGAATTTCCACACACACTATAATTATATAAATACATATACAGTACTGTAATTTAAAACCGACACTTCAACTTACCTTGTTGTAGTTCCTAATTAGTGTTAATAATTGGTATTTTTTCATGTTCTGTGATATATCAAGCACATCTTAATGAATTTGATTTTACATTGTGGCTAATAGTGATATTTCCACAGCAAAAAATTGCAGACATGGCATTACGAATTGAATCATCTCGACTTCTTACCTACAAGGCAGCTGTTCTAAAAGATGAAGGAAAACCGTATTCCAAGGTCAGCATACACCAACACATTCTTTATACTGTAGATATATTAATAAGCAGTATAGTACTAATATTCTGAAGCTAAGTACAGTACTCTGGGGTGAAGTTCTATAAATTTGCTGCTGTATGTGTGCAACACTTTGCAAATCCTTAGAACATTTATTAAATAATTCTTAGAGTAACAGGAATAATTAAAATTTGAAGAGAATAGTAGGTCCTGGTTTGGTTTCCTTTCAGGACAGAGGCATATAGGCACATTTCCCTGGACCTAATTCCTCCATTCACCTATAGGTAAATAGGTATCTAGGAGTTAGGTTAATCCACATTTGTGGATTGTTCCTTGAAGACCATTTGTTAGCCTAGGAGAACCTCGATAAGCCTAACAGGAATCCTGTTCTCGATAATAAGAAACCAAAAGCGTGAGTTCCTGGTGAACTGAGGAAAGTCCCCATTGGTTATGTCCTGGGTTCAAACTTGGTTGGGCCTGATTTGGGATTCCCATCCAGCTTTCCTTTCCCTGCCATCTGATGCTCTGTTCTGTGTTGTCTCCATCTGGTGTTGGATAAGCTTCCAATTCTTCGGCCGTTCATCGAGCGATTGTGTGGGAGCCTAAACTTTGCCTATGTGGTATTTTCCTTGGATAGAGTTTGGAGGAACCAGAACAGCATTAGGTGCTGTTCTGGTTTCTCCAGTTCCAACTTTTCCACTCCCACCAGCATTGCTGAATGCAAGTTCCATTTACCCATCAGCAGCTTTTGGTTCGCCAGTTTCCTCTTCAGGTTTTCCTGCATTCGGTTCTGTGGGGCCTTCCTTTCCCTGTTGCTCAAGGTTTTAGTGGATGCCTCGGCCCTGGGCCTGGATTTTGTGACCAACACTCACCAGGCCTCTCAGGGATGTTGGGCGGGTATCCCCACCTTCAGGCACACAGTATAATGTGCCCGGCAGTGTGGCAGACCTTGCACAGGGTTCTTCTTCCTCTAGGGGCTACTTTCTTCTGCTCCATTCTGACTCCTGTCTGATGGATCATTGTCTGAACCATGAAGGATTGCTTCAGTCCTTTCATTTTTCGAACTGAACTTTGCTTATAGCTAGGCTTCTGGATTTTCAGGGTTAGATTCTCCACATGGTTCATGTGGGGATGTCTCAAACATTCTTGCGAATGGTCTCCCTTGTTTCCATCCCAGTGGCACTGAGAGGCATTCAGTCACCATAACATGGACCTTTTTCACAGCTGCATGGAACTAGTGTCTTCCATCTTACATGGCTCCATTCCCCAATCTTGAGGCTCTCGTGGTGAATGCCTTTCAATTGAACTGGTCAAGATGGGGATCATTTATCTCCCCTCCATCCAGCTGTTATTCCAAATTTTGGATGGGTGATCCTCCTGGCTCCATGGTGGCCAGCTCAGCTTTGGTTTCTGGCTCTTCTGGCCTATTATCCAAACCTGAATGTTTTTCCGCAGCTCCACCTCTTTCAGCAGGTGGAGCCATTCCTTGCTGGTTCAATGTTCTCTGATCGTCTCATCTGGGATTCCTGGGGATGGGGGAAGATCCCCTTGTGTCTCCCTGAAACTACAATGCTGATATAGTGCGTAACTACTGGGTGCCATCACAGAGATCTTTTTTGGCCTACTGGGGACCAGGAACCAGAACCTGGTCCCCTCTAGCCACTGCACTGTGCCACGCTACATAGTGCCTGGTGTGGTGGGGCACCACCCAACATAGTGCCTGGTTTAGGCAAATGTTTGATCCACTGAACAGGAAATGGTCGACCCATTTAGGAATTCAATTTTGTGTGAGTCATTAGATCTATGGCACACTGTACTTAATTATTTTTACAGTTTGTTATTTTAGTTATCAAACTTCTATGTATTAGTAATGTATGGTGCAGTATGTAGAGAAACTGTAAGCTGGAAGTAAATTTTGTTGGAGATAAATTATCTTTGTTGTTGTCTACTTTACTTGGTACAGTGTTTCTCTACAGTGATGCTAGTACTGTACTATGTAATTTGTTCATCGTGTATAGTATTTTAAGATTTATTTAGTCATATATAATGGCAGAAATTCATGCTCGATTTTTCTTCTACTTTTCACAGTGTGCGGCAATGGCTAAGCTGGCAGCATCAGAAACAGCCACATTCTGTAGCCACCAAGCTATACAGATCCTCGGAGGTATGGGATATGTAAGTGACATGCCAGCAGAGAGACACTACCGTGACGCTCGCATCACAGAGATATACGAAGGCACATCAGAAATACAACGTTTAGTCATAGCAGGAAGTCTTATAAAGGAATACCAAGCACTGTAATTTTTTCTTCAAAATATATTTATCTTGAGCAAACTAGTTTATGAAAATTCTGAATTAGAATTTTTAAAAACAAATTTTTATTTGTTTTCTATTTGATATGAGGTGCTGAATAACAATAGTTCATGTATAATATTTAGAAAACTAAAATTTCTTGTAATATGATAATGTATGTGTTGGGAACATGAGGTTTGTAAAAAGATTGCTTACATGTTTGGAGATTGAATCAATTGAAAATTAATTTGGCTTTAGCACTTTTAGCTGACGTTTTCTATTCTTTTGTATATGCAACTTATCAATGCAATTCTAGGTATATACTGTATAGATGTTTTTACTGCTGTATAAAATATGTAGAGTTTTACCAATAAAATTTTATATCTGGTAATAAATTATTGACATCTTTCTCTATGTTTATCACTGAACTGATTTTTGAGATCCATACCCAAGTCAGTCTTTACTTGTCATTACCTTTAGACATTGCAGTCTGAATACAACATTAAGTTTTAGATTTTATATATATATATATATACAGTATGTGCATTGAAAGGATGCTTAAAATATATTTTTTAAATACAAAATAGTAAAAGTATGATTTATGAAAAATATAGCTATTGCATGATAAGCTTTTCTGGGAGGAGCCCCTTGGAGGCTCCCTGAAGCTGTCTCACTGAAATGGCTTCCCATTACTGGGTCACATTAGTCACACAAGTTGATTTGGCCTACTGGGAACCAGAGTCAGAAGCCCACATCTCATTCCAAGGCCAGTCCTTCCATCTCATGTTGGAATAATGCTCAACGAGGTGGTGAATGACTTGGCCAAGCGCGCCACATCAAAACCCCAAGTTGACATTGAATGTGTTTTAAACAATGAGACAAATAAGAAGCAAAATTATAAATATTCGGGCACAAGCAGAAGTGGTGAGGAGAGCTATAATGTATGAGCGAGGTCAAACCATGGAACATTACATGTGTGTATGTGAGTCAAAACACTCATTTCACTTATGGTAAAAGGAGAAATGCTTGGAGTGACTGCACATGCAGCTCAGGCTTGGGTAGAAATATTACTGGGAATAAGTTCCTGGTATAATCATAGGTGTTAATGATAATGAAACAAAGTGTAAACTGTGGTATTTTAAGGTTCATGTCGTAATCGCTGAACCCAGGTTCATTCCGAACACAGTAATTACACAACTATAACGCCTTGCCTCACAAACTGTTACTACCACTATGTAATTCTCCACACCAGACCCTTGAGGTGTATCACTAGGTTTATACAGGAACTCAATGAAAGGACATATGGAAGGTGATTAAAGGCCATCAGGTTTTTCCAACTTAATTACGTAAAATAGACTCGGACAATGAACAACACATTAATTTACTCTGGTTAAATCGGCTTCCCATACCCATAAACCCACTAAACCTCCCCGGTCACCACCTGAACTCGTAACCTTCCCCTAAGGCCCTAATACCAAAGCATCACTATAATGCTCACATCTTAGTCTTCTATTCAATACTCACATACTGCAGACTTTACTGTTAACAAGATCACATCAGGTTCCCACATTTGGTCGGTTCACTTTGCCGCTGCCACAGATGGAGATAAGGAGAGCCTGACAGAACCACTCCTACAACAAGACTGCCTCCAGCTAGTCATAGCTTCAAACATTACATCCCAAGGAGGTATAATCCGATGAACCATAAATCTCCATGTTCCTAGAAACTTCACATCACCCTTTGTCCTCTTGGCTGGTACATTCATTTGGGTAGGCAATTGCTGTCTTAATCCCTTTTGACCTTACCTCGTTGTGTGACCAGTCTGCATTCTTAACATGTACTTCCACTCGTCATTTGTTAAGTGCTTGATTCACTGGCTAATATTCACTCCTAACTTGTGGATTACAACATCCACACCCCTCACCCATTATATTCTTGATTACCCATTGATTAATGTACTGTATATAGGAAAAAAAATACTGAGACTTCTGGTTCAGGTTCAGTGACGAGGATGCAGGTTCGAATCCTTGTCACGGCCCTTGTGGATTTGTTCATTTGATGCATCACGTTATTGTGATATCTGTGTGTAATGAAGTAAGGGCAGAGGGAGAACGGCCTACTGACATAGCTCGAGTGCATGGAGGAGTTGTGTAAAACCCAGGTTTGTGTCTCGGAGAGGCTGCAGGATCCAGGAAGTTCAGTAGAACTTTGGTTTCAACTCTTTTTGACCATGTCGTAGCTCAGTCGATTAAGGCAGCGTCTGGGATGCTCACGGACACAGGTTCGAATCCTCGTCACGGCCCTTGTGGATTTGTTTATTTGTCTTGTGTTTAACTAGGTATGGACTCCGGGCTGGAGCTGCATATTCCAGGATTGGTCTGACATAAGTGGTATACAGGGTCCTGAACAATTCCTTACACAAGTTTCTAAAGGCAGTTCTTATGTTGGCCAACCTAGCATATGCCGCTGATGATATTCTTTTGATGTGGGCCTCTGGGGACAGGTTCGGTGTGATATCAACCCCTCGATCTTTCTCTTTATTTGACTCTTGCAGGATTTCACCTCCCAGATAGTACCTTGTGTTCAGCCTCCTGCTTTCTTCGCCTAATTTCATTACTTTATGCTTTCCCGAGTTGAACTTTAGCAGCCATTTTCTAGACCATTCCTCCAGTTTGTCCAGGTCATCCTGTAGTCTCTGTCTATCTTCATCTGTCTTAATTCTCATAATTTTTACATCATCAGCAAACATTGAGAGGAATGAGTCTATACCCTCCAGAAGATCGTTTACATATATTAGAAACAGGATGGGTCCAAGTACTGAGCCCTGTGGGACTCCGCTGGTGACATCTCGCCCCTTTGATGTCTCCCCCCCTCACAGTTACTTGCTGTTTCCTATTGCTTAAGTACTCCCTTATCCACTGGAGCTCCTTCCCTTTTACTCCTGCCTGTTGCTCCAACTTTTTTAACAGCCTTTGATGGGGTATGTGTCAAAGGCTTTCTGGCAGTCCAGGAAAATGCAGTCTGCCCACCCTTCTTTTTCCTACCTAACTTTTGTTGCCTGGTCATAGAATTCTATTAAACCTGTGAGTCACGATTTACCATCTTTGAACCCATGTTAGTGGTGTGTTACAAAGCTATTTCCCTCCAGATGCTCTACGAGCCTTTTCCTCATGATCTTTATCACCTTGCATGGTATACAAGTTAGGGAAACTGGCCTGTAGTTCAGTGCCTCTTGCCTGTCACCTTTCTTGTATATTGGGACTACGTTAGCTGTCTTCCAACTTTCTGGTAGGTCTCCTGTTTCCAGTTACCTATTATACACCATAGAGAGTGGCACACTTAGTGCTTCTGCACCTTCCTTTAGTATCCATGGTGAGATTCTGTCAGGCCCAACAGCCTTTGTCATATTCAGCTCCAACAGACACCTTTTGACCTCATCACTGGTAAGGTCAAATTCCTCCAAGGTTGCTTGGTTTGCTTCCTCCTCATTTAGTGCAGGGGCTTCTCCTTGTTCTATTGTGAAGACCTGGAATCTCTTGTTGAGTTCTTCACACACCTCCTTGTCATTCTCTGTGTATCTGTTCTCCCCTTTTCTCAGTTTCATCACTTGTTCCTTCACTGTTGTTTTCCTCCTGATGTGGCTGTGGAGCAGCTTTGGTTGGGTCTTGGCTTTACTCGCGATGTCATTCTCATACTGTCTCTCTGCTTCCCTCCTCACTTTGAGGTACTCATTTTTGGCCCTCTGGTATCTCTCCCTGCTCTCCGGTGTTGTTATTTCTGTTGTTTCTCCATGTTCTTTTACTCAGTTGCTTCGCTACCTTACATTCCTGGTTGAAACATGGATTTTTCTGGTTTTTCATTTTTTCCTTTAGGACCTTCCAAAGCACACCTTCATGTAGGTGTACTCACCTAATTGTACTCACCTAATTGTGCTTGCGGGGGTTGAGCTTTGGCTCTTTGGTCCCGCCTCTCAACTGTCAATCAACTGGTGTACAGATTCCTGAGCCTACTGGGCTCTTATCATATCTACATTTGAAACTGTGTATGGAGCCAGCCTCCACCACATCACTTCCTAGTGCATTCCATTTATTAACTACTCTGACACTGAAAAAATTCTTTTTAACATCTCTGTGGTTCATCTGGGTACTAAGTTTCCACCTGTGTCCCCTTGTTCGTGTCCCACCCGTGCTGAAGAGTTTGTCTTTGTCCACCCTGTCAATTCCCCTGAGAATTTTGTAGGTGGTTATCATGTCTCCCCTTACTCTTCTGTTTTCCAGGGATGTGAGGTTCAGCTCCTTTAGCCTTTCCTCGTAGCTCAATCCTCTCAGTTCCGGGACGAGCCTGGTGGCATACCGCTGAATCTTCTCTATCTTTGTCTTGTGTTTAACTAGGTATGGACTCCAGGCTGGAGCTGCATACTCCAGGATTGGTCTTACATAAGTGGTATACAGGGTTCTGAAAGATTCCTTACACAAGTTTCTGAAGGCAGTTCTTATGTTGGCCAGTCTAGCATATGCCGCTGATGATATTCTTTTGATGTGGGCCTCTGGGGACAGGTTCGTCGTGATATCAACCCCCAGATCCTTCTCTCTATTTGACTCTTGCAGGATTTCCCCTCCCAGATGATACCTTGTGTTCAGCCTCCTGCTCCCTTCGCCTAATTTCATCACCTTACACTTTCCTGAGTTGAACTTTAGCAGCCATTTTCTAGACCATTCCTCCAGTTTATCCAGGTCATCCTGTAGTCTCTGTCTATCTTCATCCGTCTTGATTCTTCTTATAATTTTTGCATCATCAGCAAACATTGAGGGGAATGAGTCTATACCCTCTGGAAGATCGTTCACATATATTAGAAACAGGATGGGTCCAAGTACTGAGCCCTGTGGGACTCCGCTGGTGACATCTCGCCACTCTTATGTCTCCCCCCCTCACTGTTACTCGCTGTTTCCTGTTGCTTAAGTACTCCCTTATCCACTGGAGCACCTTCCCTTTTACTCCTGCCTTTTGCTCCAACTTTATTAACAGCCTTTTATGGGATACTGTGTCAAAGGCTTTTTGGCAATCCAGGAAAATGCAGTCGGCTCACCCTTCTCTTTCCTGCCTAATTTTCATTGCGTGGTCATAAAATTCTATTAAACCTGTGAGGCATGATTTACCATCTCTGAACCCATGTTGGTGGTGCGTTACAAAGTTATTTCCCTCCAGATGCTCTACGAGCTTTTTCCTCACGATCTTCTCCGTCACCTTGCATGGTATACAAGTTAAGGAAAAGGTGTGCTTTGCTATGTGTTTGGTTACTCCCCCTGCTTCCAGTTCCATTGTTTCTGCAGTTTATGAAGTTAGGGCAGGGTTTGCTTAAGGTGTTGCTGAGCCTTCTCCGAGGGTGGTTCCATCCATTCCCGCGGCAGT